CCCCCCCAGTGCTGTGCCAATGGCTGAGCTATTCTAGAAACGAGGGCTCAGAAAGTAAAGCAAGTGATGAATGAATGAATAAATAAATAAATAAATAAATAGCACATCATCTACAAAACACAAAAGGCGGCTGGTGTGGGCTGCCATTTCTGAGCCCTCCATTTTTATTCAGTGATTCAGACAACACATGAAATGATGATGAAAACAGAAAAGAGTGTGAGATTTGGAAGGGACTGACAAAGAAGCGGGTTCAAATGGCGCCTTCCTCCTCTGCCCCCACAACTGGCCCTGGCCCAAGCGGCAAACACCAAAAACACCATTATTGCCCCACAAGACAAGAGGGCATGGGAACCAGACTGAACTCTGTGGCCTGAGAAAAGACAAAGGGATTTGGAGGGGCCCCAATGATGCCAGGACTGGCCCCAGGCATGGCATGCATCTCTGGGCTTCGCGGTGTGTGTGTGTGTGTGTGTGTGTGCGTGTGCGTGCGTGCGTGCGTGCGTGCGCGCGCGCAGGCCTCACCAGGTGGCACCGTAAGAGGGGTGACCCCACTACTCCTTAAACATCTGTCTTTTGGCAGAAGGGGCCATTCACCTGCATCCCTTTGAAATGCGGAAGTGATGGGGTGAGCGGGAAAGGCTCAGTGGGAAGAGAAAGGAGAGGCCCCAGGAAAAACATTTCTTTTAAAACATTACATCTCACCAAATTTTCACTTTAACCACATGAAACTATGTACACGTAAATACATTTGTTTGTGCATATAATATTTTAATTTAAAGGTATGCTGTTAATTTTGCTAGTTGTTTATGTTACAACTATTGCCATTACATTCAGTGATAAGCCGCCTCGATTGCCTTGCAGAGGGGTGGGATATAAATAAATTATTATTATTATTATTATTATTATTATTATTATTATTATTATTATTGGGAATTATGATTTACAAGTAACATTAGTACAGAAAACATGACTAAGAATTTTTTATGGTGTGATATGGAGGGGAGGAGGAGGCCAATGGGGGGCAACCCTAGAGATGCCACCTCTGTCTCTGGGGAGAGCATCCCACAACTGGAAGCAGAAGTAAAAGTTTGTTGGGAGTTTTAAGTCTGGGAAAAAGCATAGCAGAAATATCTGACTTCAATGCCTGAACTGCCGCCACTCACTTGCAAACCAGACGGTTGTGAGTTCAATCCCAGCCAGGGCTCAGGGTCGACTCAGCCTCGCATCCTTCCAAAGTCGCTAAAATGACTACCAGGATTGTTGGGGCAATTAGCTTGCACATTGTAAACCGCTTATTAGGGGATGATTAAGTGTGCTGATAAGCGGTGCAGATATGTACTTGCTATTGCTATTGCTGCTATATTGTACATTTGCATGGAGGAAACGCAAATCTTCTGTTATCTTCCCTCTTGTTGCATGAAACCCAAAGGAGGCCATGTCCATTAAGCCCAAAGAGCAGGAGAAGCAGGAGACAGAGAGGCAAACACAGTGTCTAATTAACACAAGGAGCTCATTACTTTTGGAAAATTTTAGCAATCTCTCTTCCCTCCCTCTTTGCTATTTAGAGAAAGTGGGGTTTTTTGAGGGCAGAGCATTTCCCCGCATGTAAAACTCTGCTGTCTTCCTTCCCCATTTGCTCAATTTGAATGACATGGTAATACACACTTTTGGCAACCCAAAAAGCAAACCATGTGATCCCTTCCGGTCACTTCCTTTTAGGCAGTTTCTCTGACACAAAAGAAATTCCTCTCTCTGTAAAGTCTGTGGCCATCTCCCTCCCTCTGAAGGATGGAGAAATTCAGGCTTTCTTCTTTTGCATTTACCCCGTCTATCTATATTTAGCCAATATTAGGATGTAGGCTCCCCATCCATACGTAGATGAAAGCTACTGGTAAACTTTTCATTAATTAATTTTCATTAATTGCAGGCTACTTGTCTTGCTGTTTTTGAGTCAGTTTCAGTTCTGAGAGAAGAAGCAATTCTCAGGCGGAGAAACATTTTTGTTACTTTTTGGATTGAAAGCGATTCTTTCCCAGGTTTAGCTTTGATCTCTCTCGGCCTTCAATTGGTTTCCTAAACAAAGGCTGCGTTGCCCAACGATGGTTGCCACAATTTGGCTACAAACAGTCACAGGGAAGGAAGGAAGGAAGGAAGGAAGGAAGGAAGGAAGGAAGGAGG